GGGTAGTCTCTTAAGATTTTAGACGCGGTCGAAACAATGAAAGATAACGGGAGGAACCATTGTCTCGTCGGTTGCTTTCCAATGTCCAGACTGCACACACCGTCAAATCTAAAATGTAACACGTACAAAAATGTCGAAAAATATCTTGCGTTGTTCTTTCATTCCGCTTTGTTAATATCGATAATTATAGAAGCTGAAATGACTAATTTCCAGATATTTTCGCGCTTGTGTAAATATGGTTATATTTTATAAAGAAGAAGGAAAAAGTTGGTTTTTGCGTAAGATTTGAAAATTCGTATTATATTATCGTTAACAAGTTTTGGTAATCTCTCGAAAAAACAATAGCGAAGATGCGGATCACTTACGTAACATGAGTGAAGTTTGCGACTCGCTGACAACACGTCGCGTCGATGGAAGAATATAGCGCGCGGCGCGAGCAGATCGAGAAACGATGACATCACAAAAGGGAAACGTAAAAATTGATTTTTATTCTCGCGGCCTCATTGTTCCGTCGTTGACACGTTGACGGGTACAAGCGTTGGCTAATAGCTAATTGATTCTTTAGGTATCAGCAGCGCAATAAGTTCTCGTGCACGCGCTTCCAAGCGTTTCTCTTGGCACCGGTCTGCAGGTACGTGCAGTTCTTTGAGCCTTCGATCGAATATAGTGGTTAGTTAGTTGACCAAACGATCGATCGATCGATTGACCGACCAAGCGATCAATAGATGGATCGACGAATATGTCTCGCCTTCTTTCGTATCCTTCTATTTTGCTCGCGGAAAGGCCTGATACGAGGCGATATCGTCAGTGTGATTGACGAAGGTGAGAAGAAACCCGAGCGCTTACGCGTGCGTCCGCTCGAAACGCCTCGAATCAGAATCGATGTAACGTGTCCAATCATAGTTCAAGACAGGGTCAGGATGCTACGGATCGGCGCGAGAGGCGCGCCGTAATGAAGCAAAATGGATTAGGCCCGCTCGGCGTGTGAGATAATGCGTGTGCGGTGAATAAGCAACGCGAGTCATCGACTCACATGCGCGTTAGTTTAAGCTACATAAGTGCGTGTGTGGTGCGATACGAATTTGGCGGACGATAAATAATGATGATCGATGACCGTTGAGAATTTCGTATTGTGCGAATAAAGATCGCGATTATCTCGCAAATTAGCCTATCCTGCAGCTTTTCTCGGTTCCGAGAACTTATTAACATATGATAATCCGTTCCGAGCGGATTGCTGGCTAGGATCAGTGACCTATTGGCCGCGCAGGATTGTAATCTATGATTTACAGTCGCAATCGTTTGTACGCATATTACAAAAAAAAAAAAAAATCAATTATCTTGGATCGATCTATTAAGTCAGAAATGTTCTCCGATCATCACTTTCATATCTCGATAAGGCTGTGCGAGTAAATTTTGTGAAATCTTCGGGCTTCCTTTTATTCGAGCGTGACTCGTCTTTTCACAATCATTCATTTTTGGACGAACAAACTTAAACCCAAAATGCACGCCGCTCTTCTAAAGTTTTTCAACAATACCCTAGTGCACCAAAACACCTGCCTAGTTCGAGCGTTCGCTTTTTAAACGCTACGAAGATTAACAAGCTCTCGAAAGAAAAATGTCTCTCGAAAAGCATCGCAGTCGGTTCATGATGAAACGTGAAAGATTCCGCGCCCGTAATATCCATAAATCAAACCTCAGTGATGACAAAATTATGACTTTTCATTGAGATACGAGCGACTGGTCGACAAACTTATTATGACACAGCCTGATGGATGTTGAGACGTGTGTTTGTTGTGGCTTCTCCGAATCGACTCAGGTAGATGATTGCCGTAAACTTTTCCGCAGCGCGCCGGCTTCTCCCAAAGAATCGCATCTGTCTTCCGGGATGCGTCTGCGGTTACTCGAACGGACGAGCTGTACAGTGAGAGAAAGGCAAGCTCTTTCTGAAAAGTGCTCGAACCCGATCGCCTCGTCTTTGATGTGTACACAGGATTTTGGCTTTCATACTCTGCACTCCTTCTTTTTCAGCTTCTTCATGTCGGAGACAGCGCTGTAAGACCGACGGCGACCAATATTTGCGAAGCACTTTCATTTTCGTGACTCGCGTCGCTCGAGATACTCTCTGATATATGCGTTTCTGGTCAGAGCGCCGCTTTTACCCACTACCTTACATCCATTTAATACCTCCATTGTGCCGCGCTCTCATGCGAGAGAGCTGCTTCGGTTAGAGAAAGGAGACCGCTGAGAAAAGCGAAATACAAGGATGGTAGGGAAATGGACACGGGAGAAAGAGATAGTACGAGATGTGTAACAAACGGATCGCGGGTCAACGATCAAGGACCGGGTTTGTTTGAGGACGATTTAAAGATCTCTCCTTGTATGAAGCGTGACTCGACTTTATTAAAGCCGGTCCTTAAAGCCTGCTCCTCTTCTGTTTACCTTGTCTTGCTTCTTTTTATTAGTTTCTCTTTTGCCGTTATGCTGAAAACACATTGCACTTTGTGCCGAGTCGATGTTTCTCACTGAGTGACAATGGCTCAGATGAATTTGCGTATACGAGCTTGAAATATCTATCAAATAACGTCGATATGTAATTTATCGCGTTATGAAAGTATATATATATATGGGTCAGACTCAAATGGCAGATTCGAGTTTGGTATATACACGGAGTGATGAAACGCTATGTTTAATCGTCCGTAACGAGAGAGAGAGAGAGAGAGAGAAAAATCAACGACGAATATAAGCGAATAATTGCTCGCCATATCCGTTTTGTTTCTATATACCTCGAAATATCACCGTTCTTTCCTGCTACCTATTATTCTGTCTCACGAACGAAAGTACTGCTATTATTAATGCAACAAGCACGGCACGGCTAATGACAGTCATTCGTTCAATTAATAAGCCAGAGTAATAATCAATCAAATAGCAGTACGTATAAATGTAAGTGTAATTTTCAAGAAATAACTATTGCGACGCGGAACGACCAACCTTCGCGTTCATCTAATCAATTGTTAAATCCCTCGCGATAAAGCAATAAAATGACATGTCACGATGCGTGCCGCTCTTGTTTATTAAATCCCTGTCATTCGCACCGGTGGACATTAATCTCGGAAACGCCGTCGATTTCGACGTAACGAACTTTCCGTGCCTTATCTCAGACTTTTTGATGGAGCACGCGCGTTAATTAAAACACGAGAAAGGAAAGAGGCGAGAAAGAAAGCGTAACACGTACAAAATGCAAAACTGCAGTCTTCGTTTCCATCGTATATTAACGATTCGATGCTTTAGTGGGAGGATCGGCGCCACAGGTCCCGATAGAATTTGAAGCGTTACATTAGTCCGACTAATGACCGACATGACCGTGGGTAGATACCGGTTCCTCAGGATCTCTTCGAGAGGGAACATGCTCGAAGATCGTTGCAAACGAAGAGAGCAATACGGAGGACAATAATCGCTTCTTCGCGATGAGGGCGCCACATACTCGAGAGAGCGCATCTGCAGAACTGCGCTCGCGGTATGCATGCGCGAGATTTATCACAAAAATATACAAATATAACTCTGTTTAAAAAATATTCCATGACAATTATTTTTCTCTTTATTTTAAATCGCACAATAAATAATAAAACTTGACTCATTAAACACTCAAAAATTTTACAAATTTATTTCGATTTTTTCTTTCCCAAAACCGATTATGAAATAGATATGTTTTCTACAATATTATTCCGCAGTCTGTTTTGGAATGAGAAGCGATAAGGACGCACCAGAATTAGATACCAGCCGTTTCAGCATTGTAACAGGAAACGCAAGCTAACGCCGATCGTAAGTCAAGCAAGCACTCTCGCTTTTAAAAGCCTGCAAGCTTGGAAAAAAAATGAAGTACGCTAATCCATAGCTCGCAAGAGAAGAAGAGAGGCCGTATATCTTGCGCCTCTCTCTCTCTCTCTCTCTCTCTCTCACGCGACTTTACGCGTTAGTTGTCTCGATTATATATCGCGAGTCGGAAATTTTGGACGATACTAAGAGATGATGCTGGTGTAATCAGTGTGTCTTTTTGAAACTCGACTGAAAACATTTGTGTTCTCTCTCTCGCACTACTGAAATTAAATTTCTGCTGAATTACGCCGACCGCCCGGATTCAGCACTGTGGTTGTTTTTGTTAATGAGTGTCGAACTATGTTTTCTCACTCGCGTCCCAGAGATTGTCGCCGAAAAAACGTTTGAGCTCGCGCGCGACATTTCGCCGCGGCCGAAATAGCATGACAGTCAAGCTTGTTTGATCTGCTTTGTGTCAGCTGCTCCGCTGTGCGGACGGAGTAACAAATCAAAAAAATATCGAAACAAACCTACTCTACTCGCAAAAAATTGTTGAATTTTTTTGTCTACTATTTGTCTGCTAAAAGATACATAACAAGTTGACGTCAATGTCTTGGAGCGAAAACAACTACTGTCATTTCTCGCGGCTACATAATAGATTAGTAAAAACCAAACCATGACACGTATGCCCTTGAAATTTTGTCATTTTTCAGTTGAAAGATACAAAGAAACTGAATTTTGACTGTAAATACATTGATCGCATTTTCACATAAAATTTCGAAATGACAAAACATCTCAACTTGTTAAATCACTGTGCACTCCGCATCCAATCATCTTCTCCTTAAACGAAAACTGATTTTATAACCATAAAAAGTCGCACTTGAGAAAACTGTCACTGCGACTGCAATGTCTCTCGGCCGACTGCGCGGCGAGTGAGCGCGCTTCTGCACAGAAGAGTAAGAGCCACCGCTCAAGAACTCACGTCTCGCGAACAAACGGCGAGCGTAATACCGCCGCGCAGTCGGCGAGAATCGAGGAGCGCCGAGGAAACACGACGGGGCAGAGGGTTCCGCGACTTCGTGCGAGTTCGTCGTTGCTCGGCGCTCTTCGACACCCTCGAGTCGCCGTCGCCGTCCGTCGAGTCTGCCAACGCGACGGCTCGCTCGGTCGACAGACGCGTCCGCGACACTGAGCAGAGAGGTTGTTTTCGTTAAAGCTAGTCGACGAGCCGGAGTCTCACCGAGACTATTTCTCGGTTAGCTCGCGCGTATATTCCAACGTTCGACCGCGACTCAATCGTGATAGCGAATAATCGTACAATCAGTCGCGATACGAATGTCTTGAACGTGCGCCCAACGATCGTTCGACGAATTTTCGCAGTTCAAATTACTTTTCGGAGTTGCATGGGAATCTCGGAGTGCGATTTTGAAAGTGAGATATACTCGACGCCCCAGTGTGAGAGAATGCTCAAGTGTTTGTGTCGACAAGGATAATACAGTTTTTCTATTATATTATGAGATTGCAGTGTTTCCAGCAGTGAGATTTATGTGTTATTACAAATCGGAGTACAACTCGATGGTCTTCGCGTCTCTTGCGCCTTTCGGCGGATATGCGAGGGCACGAGAAAATGCGCTTAAAAAGTGTTAAAATCTCAGAATTGTCGATCTAGTGTTGTCACGGAATACTCATTTCACTCACGCTTCATGCATCTTTGAATTCTGAGAAGGTTCGACTTGTGTAAGATGCTGAATGCTGTCGCGTGCATTCACCGGAGCGACTGCTGAGCGACGGGTAGCTTCGCGCGATACAGTTCCAGCCGAGAAAACTTATTTGAGCTTCGCGTTCTGCAATTAGGATTGTTGCTATCATCGCCGAGCAATTTCTGAAAACAAAAACACTGAACCAATGAATGGTCTGGCGAAGAGTGCTCCAGATCAGAAAAACACAGGCTGTATCCATGGGACCGGCACTACCTCGGACACCAGCAACAACAACGTGTCGAGAAAAATGGATCGACTCTAATCGTTCCGAGTTTGATACAAGTCAAAAAAAGTAAATTCATAACAATTTTTGTATTTCATCAAGTTGTAAAAAAAAATCGTAAAGTCAATCGAGAATCATTTCGAGAGGATTATCAATCCAAGAATCATTGTCGTTATTTAAGGTTGTTGGAATCTGTGACGACAGGAAGATGTGAATGACGGGAAGTCCGATCAGAGGTGGCTACGAGGATCCGCGACTGCCGAAAATACGATCAAAGTGGATGTGGTGGAGGTGTGACGGTGGTGGAAGTAGTAGGTGGTTGTGGACGACTGCAGCGAGGTCGCGGCCGAAAGTGCAACGGGTGCCGCACGCGTAGTTGGTGTCGGTGGTGGTTATTGTTGTTATTGTGTTTGAGTGCCCGTGGTGACGGTGCTAATCGTCGTCCACGTTGTTACCATGGTTTCCACGTCCTTCGTGACTCTGGTGTTCCTCGTGTGTCTGCAAACGGTACTACTATCGACTGTGAGCAATTGCGCGAAGACGATCACCATGTACTGGAACACTACCAACTCCATGTAAGTGTAATGTGTGTCCAGTGGGACTCGTTGCTTTTTCTCATTGTTGTCGCGCTGCTCAATACAAGGGTCAGTCATGTAATTTTGCCAGTGTAATTTTTCAAGTAAAAGGTCGAAAAATAAAATTTCTGCATAAACTTATATTTGCATTTAATGTTCGGTAATGATAATAGGTTCGATTGGACAAAAAAAGTAAAAAATATTCCGTGAAAATTATGTGATCGAGATCCATGCACAGACAAAACACACTCGGCAAAAATAATTCTGGCTGATTGAATATTATTTGAAAAGTAATATGTAAAAAAGTGTAAAAAAGGACATAGTTTTGAAAATTTTAATTTTGTAGAGAATATCTTTTGCGCAATACGAGAGTTTTGTAAAACGGAATATTTAAATTTATGTGAAATGGAAATTTCTGTTATTTAAATTTCTGTGATTAAGTTCTTTAAACGAGATAAAATGTGTGTGTGTTATGTAGAGTAAAATAACCACATACACACACGTCCGTGTAAAATATTAAAAATCCTTATGACGGCATTTAGCTCACAAAGTGACTGTCTGATTCTGTCTGATCTGGATTTGCATTAAATTTGATACAAAGTAAAAATCGGTAAGATCAGAAGAACAATATTTATTGTTAAATTACGGTGAGAATGTGGGTCGATGTTTTTAGATACTTTTATATGTTTCAACGATACAATTTTATGTTCTTATATAGTTATGTAAATAGATTTGGATAAACTCAGTTTTACTCAACTGTACGTTTTAGAAATTTCCCTAAAATTCGAACAAACGTTTTTCGGAGCAGCAGTATTTTTCTCTGCCACTGCTCCGGTGTCCCGCTCTTTTCTTTTGTCGTTAGCGAGTTGCGCGAGCGAGAAATGAAGAACTATATCGCGGTTGGTGCGCGTGCCAAGACGTTTAAAGTCACCCGAGTATGTTGCAAGTGAGCGTTTTACCGGCGAATCGATTTTTCACGGCGGAACCGGCGTCGTTGTCGTCGTCGTTTCGAATAACAACCGCAACCCTTTTCTTCTTCTTGTCTTCTCTCTCTCTCTCTCTCTCTTTTCCTCCACTTCCGGCGAGTTTTTATCGCGCCGGGCGTGGTATCGCGTCTGCCAAAATTGCAGCAGCGTGTATATACGTACGACTTTAATGCACTGGCGAATTGGCTGATCCCGGACCGTAGCGTTTCTTTCCCGTGACGTTCAAATTGCAGGCGATCGCGGAGAAAAAGAGAGGCGGAAGCGACGTGTCAAAATGCCGAGCCGAGATTATGACAGACATATTATTGTAAAGCTGGCGCACCGCAAGTCGCACGAACGATGCAAATCGCAAGAAAGTTTGTACAACGCTGGATAGTGATAGAGAAGGAAGTGGTCGTAACCAATTATGTGATTGACAGAAAAGAGAAGTAATTTCGCAAAAGTCAAAACTTTTCGATATCGAAAATTTCGTAGCTGGCAAAAGTCAGGAATTTTCATGTACATGAGTATGTGTGTGTGTGTGTGTGTGTACGTATTTGTGCGAGAGCTGAAAATTTTTGGAGCCCGGAAAGTTAAAAGTTATAAACTGAGAAAGTTAGAATGTTTTGATATTTCGACGCTGATGGTTTCACACACATGGACACGTAGTCTCTCTCTCGTAAGAAATATTTTGGATTTTACGGTCTTTCTGCAATTTTCGATATTAAGAATTTTACAAAATAACGCCGTCAAACTCGCTTCATTCGGGATTGTACAAAAAGTTTTGTTCGATTCAATGCGTTTCTATTGTCAACGTTTTCTCTAATAGGACGCATCTTTTACGACGTGCAGCGGCTGTTTAGCATAATTGATCGATAACAGTACGACGGAACACTACTTGTGTAATCAAGAACGGCGCAAAAATGTAATGAATCGCGTATTACATGCACAATATGTACGTGTGTGTGCAACACGCGACTTAGCTAGATTCCTGTCGCTTACATAACTGCGCGATAAGGTAACTACCACAATTCTCTGTGACATGTTTTTGTTATACAAGAAAACACAGATCACATGTCCCTCGTTACCTTCAACAATTTCTTTCGTTTGGTGTGAAGCAGACTGCGTAATTTGCTAGAGACTTTCGTTCTGGTGAAAACCTTTTGTTTTGATGAGAGACAAAGAAATAAATGTTTTCTCAATCGCGCTTGCTCGTACATTGCTACTCATATTTTGCTTAACGAGTATAACATCTTCATTTTTTACAACACATACTGTGGAAAGAAATTGCGTGTAATTTCTTTTTTAACTTCGGCTACCTTCGATCAAAGATAACGATTAACGGACATCAATTACGCTCGGCCTAACTGCTTACTTGCGACGTTGCGTCGAACCGTGTAAGTTCGATATAGCAACTTTTTTTCTTCTCTCAGTATCTCACATCACATCGGTTTCTAGAAATCTTAATTATACACACTTTTAATTATCGAGCGAGACATGCGTCTGTTTCCTTACTTTCAATCGCGATTACGCGTTGTTGCATCTGCTGCTTGACTTTGCTCAACATGATGATTTTTATTTTGACTTCATGTTTCACCTTCAGTATTACAAGAGAACAGGATTGGAAACCAACCGTTCTACGGTGGTATCGAAGTCGGATGTCGCTGACCTCGCAACAAATCTGGATGGTCTATTCTATCCTCATAAAGACACGGCAAATGTCTACCTGAATTTGACGATTGTGGATTACTAGACGGTTGCGGAATGCGTAAATGAATGAGCGAGTAAACCAGTACGAGCGAACTAGCGAGTGTGCATGCTCTTTCGCATATGTGCGAGAATTCATTTCGCGCAAGAGAGAGAGAGAGAGAGAGAGAGAGACGCTGTCAGGTCGTTCTTCCTCGCGGGACGTACGAAAGGGCAGTAAAAAAGACGCACACTTCTTTCGTGAGACCCGAAAAAAGGGGTACGAGCGCTCGGTGTGGAAGGGGACATGACAAGACGCAAAAACGGCGTCCGGGCGAAACGAGAGGCCGTAAATCTCAACCTCTTATTGGGAAATCGAAATTCGTTTTAAGAAAGCCGTCGCGAACGAGCGAGAAATATAACCGACGCCATTTGATTATCATAAATCTGCTTCCGCTATGGTCGCAACGACTATCGGTCGAAGCGCAACGCTTTCGACGTTTACTGCCTCTTCGAAAATGCTTCTCGAAAAGGATCTTTTTGCACACACTCCTCAGGCTCTGCAGATATTTTATTAAAAATAAATGTTGAAAAAACACGAAAGTTTTAAAGTACATTTGTGCAAATGATGACAGCAGTTGTTACAAAAATCACGTTGTGTTCCATTTTTTAAGTTGTCACGCAAAAGACACAAGATATATATATATATTTATCTATTTCTCTCAAAATATACACATATGGCGCTGTGCAGTAATACTCATGGATCTTTCTCTTTCTCGCTTTTTTCTCTTCGCTTACGCGAAAATACGGACAGCGACGAGAAGTTCGTAAGTTGTTGGAGATTTCAATGCCAGCAACGAGATCAGCGCTGCTAGATTATTGAACTCTCTGCTACTTTTCTGACCTTCTCATCATTCAGTCACGGATCCTGTCGAGCGTAACAACGAGAATTGATGATTGTTTCGCGCCGTCCGGTTTGTTTTGTCTTTTCTAATTCGTTATTTTTTTTATTTTATTCAAAAATTGAAAAGATCGAAGATTACATTTTTGTTTGCTCCTGTTCTTCTATATCTCAGGTATTATAATGTAATATAATTTTTATTTTAATTTTTTTCTACAAAATATATAAATATCATACTTTCTATTCAATTGAAATTTTTGATCAAATATATTGATTTTTGCCGCGAGCTGTTTCATTTTGTCGCGATAAAACGGTGATAGTCGTGACAGATGTGACAACATTCTTTCGAAGAGTTTTGTGTATGGTAAATGGACATAATCGATATCTTTAAATATCGAGTCAAGATATTAGTTTTTAATTCGATTATTGCGTCCGATATGTGTCTGATTCCGAAAGCTGCAAGCAGTCTTGATGAATGGCGGCGAGTATTGGCTCGACATCAAGCCGAAAACTGAGAACTCACAAACACGATCTATTTGTCATATCGTCGGAATTGCCGAGATATGTTTAGTAGATGGAACTAAACGCGTCATTGTGCAGAGCTACGACCGCGCAATTCGAAGAATTCGCGCGGTAAATCCTGTGGTTAATAGCGTATCTTCGTTTCTGCGAACACGCGTGCCTTATCACTCACATCGTCTGTTCGGATAACACGCCGAATACCTGATACGATGAATATTCTCACATAGACAAAATTGACGGTTAAGTTCTCGTTATTGAAAAACGTGGGATTTTTTCTCGGAGTTATAAAGATATAAAAAGATATATAAAGATTCAAAATTGTCGATTTTAATTTAAGGAAAGGAAGTGTGGGAAACTGTTACATTCTTTAACGCGGGATCCCGTTATTAAATTATTGACGTATATTCAGAAGGAAAAAGCTCATTTTTGAAAGCCGCGGAGAATAAGCTTTCTGTTATCTGGTATCGTATCTCGCGTACACCGCGTAGCGCTTTTCAGCACCAAGTATTAAAGCACCATCGATTTATAACCGCAAATCAGTGGTTTCCCTAGAAGAAACTAGTACCCTTCGCTGTTGAGAATTGAGAATATGCCGGTCGATTCGTGGAAATAACTCACCGCGCTACCGTCACAACGAATCACGCGAAAACCGTACGGATGTTCGAGTCACGACTCAGCGATCGAACACCAGCCACGTAGGTGTAAAAATACCGACATCGGAATCTTAATCACCGTCATTATACCGCGACTTGTCGCCGTAAATTTCGGACGTCACATTAGAAGTCGATTGTGTGAAACAGCGATATTCAATTAATGTATAATTCAATAATGTATAATTCAATTGATGTATAATTCAATATTCAATTGTGTAATTCAGTCATCTGTATAATTCAGTCAATGTATAATTCAGTCATCTCGGATTATGA